TTTGTCAAAATTCTTAAAGATATGAGGAAGATCAATAACAAGATTGATGCGGGACAGGGGAATGTACTTTTGTTGACAAATGCTTATCTTAACTTGGTCTTACATTTTCTTGTCAACTGTACCTCTAGACCCCCCCGGGGGGGTTTGAGAGTTATTTGAACATTCGATTATTTTGCATCTGTATTTGCTTTTGCTGTCCCACGAATATCATAAAAAAAAACCCTTTCCTTTCTTTTTGATTTATGCCTCTCTTAAGACATGATATCAACATTAGTTGCTACCGGACGAGTGTAGGTATCTGGTTCCTGCTGATCTGACTGTTGGACAGTTTGTGTATGTTGTGAGAAAGAGAATCAAGCTGAGCCCTGAGAAGGCCATCTTTATCTTCGTCAAAAACATTTTACCTCCGACTGGTGAGGTTAATTGGAATTTCCAGTTTTTATTGTGTTGAACAGTGCTTATACCAAATGGGATGAAATTCGTCAATTGAGCAGTTGGTTTGTGTTGATGCAGCTGCTATGATGTCTGCAATTTATGAGGAAAATAAGGATGAAGATGGTTTCCTGTACATGACTTACAGCGGGGAGAACACGTTCGGGATGATGGAATAATACCTAACAGCAGCCATGTGTATACCAACTTTCAGAAGGAATAAGCGACCTCGAACTAGTTAGCTCTAGTTGTAAATTCTCCGGTTTGAATTATTTCTCCTGAAGTTGCTAATGTGTATGATGACTATCTTTATGAATACCAAAACTTGAGAACTCTGTTCATTCCTAATCCTAAACGGATGAAATTTGTATAGTTCAATTGGGTTTAATCTCTGATCATGAGATTTCGGTCGCGTCGCCCTTCCTGCCCAGCCAGCAGCCACCCACCCCTAAAAAAAAATCCAAAAAGGGGGGAGAGAGGTATAATATGAAAAATTGTTTTATCCGTCAATGGAGGCGTCATCCTCGATTCTTTCAAATAAAGGGGTGCTAGACTGCTAGGTCCAACCTTACGATATTAAGGGTGTATGGATGGGATTTAAAAATAATTTTACAATATATGATGTAATATATGGAGGAGTTTTTGTTTTGTGACATTTTTTTAGGTCTGATCCTGCAGAAGTAATCGTTATGACGGCCGTCGTGGCTCACTATCCGCTTTCAATTGTATTCCTATTCTTTTGCTTCATAGTTTTTGGCCACCCGGTCAAATACGGATCTTGTGTCGTTAACCTGCCTTTGATCTGATAGGTGATGGGAAGGATTTTTTTAATATATAATTAAGAACATTTTGGTAAATGTCTATTAGATCTTATTTACAAATAAAGGATAGGAATTCAAAGTATTTGAATAATTTAAACATATTTTTTATAATGTGATTTTTTGCATGGGGCCAGCGAATAATTTTTTCAAAAGATACTGATAGTATGGAAACTAGAAATAGCCCATCATAGAGGTCTTTGGAGTTGGTTTCGGCCCTCCAGCCCTCCACATCGCTCAGCCCTACTTGGGGTCCTTTCTTTTTTCTGGTTTTTTTTTTGGTGAGAGAAATTTTAAGAACTTACTCACGATCCAAAGACAGGAAACTAACCCTTGACTTCAATCCTACCTGCACCATATCTTCAACTGGAACGGAGAGGGCTCCATATGAGAGATTACCACATGTTACGATCTGAGGTGTTGATTTTGAATACTCCCCCCCTGCGCTTTGACTAACTCTAGGATTGTAGGAGAGTCCAATTTTTTTACCAGCTGAACCCAAGGACAAGGGGTGCCCTACTTGGGGTCTTTGTGACTACCGTCAAGGATTCCGCCTTGAAATTGGGCTACATTGCTATTTATTTTCAATTTTAGTATAATATAAAAATATTAAAAAGAATAAACGGAGTAGTAATTCATCTCAAATCTTATAGAAGAATTGTTACGAGGCTCCAATCAAAAAAAGATAATCATAAAAAAGTCTTAATGACACGTAAGAAGTTATTATTTTGTATACTAAAATATAGTATTGTAAGCTGCTTTGTTGGTTTTAATTTTACCCTTTAATAATTATGTATTGGACTTTAAAACAATTTTCCTTACTTCTTATACAGCACCAAACTAACTTCAAACGGAAGGGGGGGAATCAAATAGGCAAGCCAGTTCCGTATCGGGAGGAGTCCGCCAAGGGGACGTTTGGAACGACAGAGATGTTGGAAACCCACGCATCACTTTTCATTTTCAGGGGGGAAAGATTGGGAGCTGTTCGCAGTTGCCAATAAATTAATAATACGAAAAGCCAATACTGACAGCTGGAATAGCTCAGTTGGTTAGAGCGTGTGGCTGTTAACCACAAGGTCGGAGGTTCAAGCCCTCCTTCTAGCGTTTGTTCAAGGATATTTTTATCTTCCTCAACAATTTTCTTAAATTAATAATATGACTGTAGCACATCGTCTTGCCTGCATGATTTATAGGGAAATTAAAACTTCTGCCGGGCGCTGGACACATCAGTGGTTGGTTCCATATATAATGAATTGATGCATTGGACCCAAAAAAAAAAAAGAAAAAAAAGAATTGATGCAGATGTCTTTTAGGCAAACATCTGACGTAATAATACCGAAATTTCTATCTGGACAGCATTTTACAGAAATACTACTTGTCACCGAAATGATATTAAAATGCAGAACTTTTGAGTGCTTATAGAAATGTCATTACTCCTAAATTATTTTGCATTTCAATAATATCAAAGTGTGAGCTGCTGAAAAAGTCTTTCGTTTAGTTAGTTTGTTTTTTCTTTTTGACGGAATTTAATTAATTAGTACGGACAATATTTGAAATCGAAATCTTTCTTTTAATGCTAAGATGGTAAATGTCGAGTGATTGCCGAGATTATGCCAGTAGAATCAGGAAAGAAATATATCAGTGCTATTCAGGCCTATAGAACAAGGAAAGAAAAATCTCAAAGATTTCATATTTATGACTAAGATATAGAGTTGTAGGAATGAATGTACAACATATACTAACACCAATTGGCATCACACACATAATTAGTTTGAAAAGGAAAAACTTAGAGAAGCCGGATTTTTTGTTTTGCTGGAATGAAGATCGCGATTTGGAGAAGATGCATGGTTTGATGATCTATAAAGAGCAAGCAAGTCTCTGAAATCTCGATCACTGGCCTGCCCAAAGTTGATACAGCACACCGAAGAAGAAGAAGAAATGAGAGATCATCATGTGGTGGAAAGCAGAGAATGGCAAGTGGCAGCCTATTGCCCGGAAGGTGTTCCGACACCAGAACATCTGAAGCTCCGAAGCTTTCAAGTATCACTGGGTGGAGATTCTATCCCCGAAGGCCACGTGGCAATTGAGCTGATGTTTCTGTCAGTGGAGCCGTACCTGCGCGCCACCTTCACTGGAACAAACGATGGCCTTTTCTTCCCCCAGCTTCCGCTTAACCAGGCGAGCATTATATATTTAGTATTTACAGTCCTTTTCAATAGCATTCATTCTATGATGTGTGTGTGATGTTATTCTCCTCACAAGAAGATTTGAGAATTGAGATTCATGGCGTGCATGCTGGCTTGTGAAAGCAGGTGATGAAAACGTTCGGGATAGGAAGGGTGATAGGATCAAAGGACAGTGATTACAAGGAGGGAGACATAGTTCTGAATCCATCTTCTCCGATCGCCGAGTATTGCGTCACGTCGTCTCATCTCCTTCGGAAAATTGATCTCTCCAACGGGATTGCATTGCCAGACTATCTCACTTCTCTAGGTGGCCTTTCAGCAAAAGATCGTCATTAATAATTGCTCTGTATATACACTACATACTAATCATATCAATTATTTGAGTGATTATAGGAGTACCGGGGTTTGCGGCGTGGGTGGGTGTGGAGGTGGTGGGACAGCCAAAGGCAGGATCCAATGTGTTCGTATCAGCAGCCTGCAGTGCCGTCGGAACCTGCGCCGGCCAATTGGCTAAGCTCCGAGGCTGTCGGGTCATCGGAAGCACCGGCTCTGATCATAAGGTATACTAGTACTTACATATTGAGCACTCTAGTTCTATTTACATGATTATTACGTACCCATTTGGATCAATTAATCGAGTGATATATATGATCGTGATAATCCGTTTCTCGTTATTTGAATCATTGAGAAAATGTCAAACGACTGGTCTGTGATCAGGTGAAGCTCATCAAGGAGGAATTTGGCTACGATGATGGATTCAATTACCGTAAGGAATCGGATTTTGATGCTGCCTTGAGCAAGTATATTTCTTTTCTTTTCTTTTCTTTCCAATTTTTCCTCTCTCTCAACAAGACATCTATCACACACACATATAGTTATCTTAATTAAGGATTCAATTGCCACTTATAACAATAAAATAATTTGCAGGTACTGTCCTGATGGTATTGATTTTTACTTTGACAACGTTGGTGGTGAGATGCTTGAAGCCGTTCTCAACCACGTGAACAAGCACGCCAAAATATCACTCTGCGGGATGATTTCCGAATATAATAAGGTAAATCAAATGAATCATAATTAAGCTTTCATTCCGGAGCCTGCATTAAAGTGTAATTATTTTGATGAGATATATATGTATAATCACTAATAAGTATGTATGGTGCAGGTTTGGACAGAAAGAAGGGGCATAAGGAATCTATTGAATATGGTGGGGAAGGAGGTGAAGATGGAGGGTTTTGTGCTGGATTCATATTGGGAATGTTTTGGAGAATTCGCTAAACAAATGGAGGATTACATGAAGCAAGGCAAGATCAAAACAAAGATCCAAATCAATCACGGAATCGAGAGCTTCTTGGACAGCTTGGCTTCCTTATTCTCAAGCTCTAATGTCGGAAAAGTGATCATTCAACTCAACACATAGTCCATTTCTTATTGTAATATTGTTCCAATTTCTAAGACTCAGACACAGCCTTCACATCTTAATGTTTGTGTTGTTCTTGGGTTTGTCGTATTAATTAATTGTCGCTTCCATATGTTTTATTTTCTACTAAAACATAATGGCTACAACCAGTAGCCTAATTTAAATCTGATGGCAAAAAAATTCCTAATTTAAATTTTATATATGATTTACATATGGCTAAGAATATGAAAATTCTATGAAATACAATATATTCTTTGATTAAGAGATTGATTTCCCTTATGTGTAATCGTGGTTCTGGAACCGTAATTATGTGTATTTATTTGCAGATAGTCGAGTTTATTTTAAAGACAAAAGAGAAAAAAAATGTAACCAAGCACAGTTTTGGCCAATCACAATTTTTTTTCTCCATTTTATGAAATTCTAATAATAAATTAATATATATCTTCATGCGTCGACACACACATCTCGATCCGCCAACTTATTAGCAGCTGAAAATCAAAACTCTAAAACTTAACTTCACAAAATGAAATATTTGTTTCATTACAAGCTCATTTTGTCTATAGATATATGTATATATATCATACGCAAGCTCTACAAATCTACAAACGTACGAAAAGCGCTTAAATGGGGTGAGGGAAGATTTGTTGTCTCTATATCAACCTCAATCCTAGTACAGCCTCTAATTCCAAACCTATGTAACCCACCTAATCAACATTATCATATGATCATGTCATTCGTTCTGGTCTTCGACCGCCACAAGCATGTACACCATATATACTCTCTCTACCTTTCTATATTCTAACACAAGTACACAACCCAACCTTTTTTTTTTTTTTGCCTGTTGTGCCAATATCTTGCACTGTATATATACTATGTCATTTACCATTTCAGTTCCAAGTTTAGAGAAGAAGCATATATATATATATGTATGTATTTAGCATATACTATGCAGGTCGTTCGACCAACAGGTTCCGAGGGTCCAAGCAACTTGCTGATTAGGTTGTCCCAGGGAAGCTTCTTGTTGATTTTCAACTCCCAGTGCTTGTCTTTCTCCTCTTCGGTACCACTCAGGCACTGGCATTTCTGACGGAAAATTGTTCAACAGGCTAAACAAGTCATCGTCCATGGAACTCATCTCCTCCAATGGATCGTTATCCCTAACTGATGATGCCTTCTTCTCTGTGTAAGCAAATAGTTTGGAGTAAAATTACCGTAATCCAAGCATGGAGCAGATTTAAAATGAAAGCTTACTTACCACACAAACAAGAATGAATATATACCTGTTGATAATTGAGAAGAGCTTAAATCATCCCTCTGGAGTCCACCACTATTATCCTTCCCATCGGAATCCAATTGTTCAGTGTCTCTGTCTTCCTCGTCTGCAATTCGTTTCCTCTTCAAGGATAATTTCCTTCCTGCAGCAGAATCATAAAGGGCTTGAGACTCCATCAATAAAGCATCCAAAAGCCCGCTGTTTCCTTCAGTTGATGATGACAATGGTGCAACTTCATGGTAGTCAAGTCCAGGACTAATGGTCGAACCTCCCATCAAGCCATGAACCCCACCAGTACTGTAGGAAGAAGGAGGCGTTTCCGATCGGGTCGAAGAGATCTCTGTCATCGTACCACCGGAATAACTAAACCCATTTGGAGAAACAGAGGAAAGTAATGGCAGGCCGATGTTTTGATGGTGTTGATTGCTTCTGTCGTAAGTTATATCATAACCAAGGTTGTTTAGCTGGCGACTGAGCTTATGGCGTTTGTTGGAGGAAGAAGATAGGAGAGAAGAAAATGAGAAAGAAGAAGAATGGTGAGGTGGTGGTGCATGGTATTGCGGATTTTGGTGAAGATGATGCAGAGAAGCTTCTTCTTGGAGTTCTGGAGGATACAGAGGCAACCCAGCTCTCTGGCGTCTTTTCATTCTCGTGTTCCAGAAATTCTTTATCTCATTATCAGTTCTCCCAGGTAACTGAAAAACACAGAGAAACAATTTATAAAGCGAGAAATGAGAACTTCATGAGGTGGGTCCCAGAAAGAATGTGTAAAAAGAGTGAGGACACCTGGGGACGAAATTAATTGAATTATGATAATAAGAACACAAAAAACGGCGAAGAAACTCATTTGAAAGTTCAAAAAGTAAACAAAATGAGATCATCTTTTGGTTTTATTAGGTGGGTTTTGTGAGTTGATTAAGAACATCTTCTCGCACAAGTCTCCTTTAATAAAAGTGTTCCGCATCAACAAGAACAAAAATCCCATGAAAAACAGCAAGAGATAGACAGAGTAGGAACACAAATGGCTGTTCCTTCACAGCCGCCATAGATCTAACTTGAATAAAAACAGGGGGAAAAACCGAAGCTGGAAAAATAGTTTAGAATTATAAAACATCAGCATCGGATACACGCGCGCACACATTCACACAAACGTGTAATGAACCAATCAAGAACTGCACAAAAAAAACCATGCGCATGAAAATACAGTACTGGGTTAATACCAGGGAAGCCATGCGAGCCCATTTGTTTCCGAGCTTGGCGTGAAGCTCGACGATGAGCTGTTCTTCTTCCTGAGAGAAAGCACCTTTCTTGAGATTAGGCCTGAGGTGGTTGGCCCATCTGAGCCTGCAACTTTTGCCACACCTCGTCAACCCACAGTTCTTCTGCACGGAATTCCAATTCCCTTCGCCGTACTTGTTCACGTACTCCATCAAAATGGCATCCTCCGCCGCCGTCCACGGCCCCTTCTTCATGCTCTGCTTCGCCTCGCCGTCTCTCGATGCCTCTGCGTTCGTCGCTTCCACCGCCTCGTCCTCAACCTCGTCTCTAAAGTCGTCTTCACTGTGCATCATTCTCGGCATATTTCAAAAACAGACGAATTTATTTTGCTTTCCCTCTCCTTTGTCGTCTAATGCGTCAACGAAGGGTATAGTTTGATTAATTGAGACTAATTTCTCTCCTCTCCCAAGTCTAGAATGAGGAGAAGAGAGGAGAGATAGAAAAGAAGAGGAAGAAGGAAAAGAAAAGACTGGGATTGAGAGAGAGAGAAAGGTTGTGCGGGATTGTGCTTTGTAGTGAGGAATGAAGAACAGAGAGATGGAGATTGCAGAGAGAAATGGGGTATGAGGGGGAGAGAGAGAGGGGCCAAAAGGAATGGCGTAGGAGAGAAGAAGGAGGGAATGAATATAAAGGAAAGGAAAAGAGAGGGGCGGAGCTAGCATTTCGGTCCGGGTTCCATGCTCAGTCCTTCGTCCATAGAAGCGTTTATCATCTTCCACCTTTCTTCACCTTCATTTTTCATGCATTACATAACTTTTCCTTTTTTCCTCTCTTTTTTATTCTTCTTTTTTTCTCCCCTTATTTTTGTATAATAACGTCATGAGTGATTTCACAAAGCATTTTTTCCCTATTATTTCTTTTCTTTTTAATTTTATATATTGATGGTTTTAATGATAAATACTTGAAAATTAGATAATTTCTCGCAACAACAAATGACCGGAACAAATGGCATTATTCATAAGCATTAATATATGTGTGTAGGAAAAAAATGTGTCTGGTTAATATTCAAAACAGCTCCGTGGGATAAGACAAATTGCTATGTTACAGATTCTCTCCCCTGAACTTGACGGCAGAAACGCATTTTGTTCATACAATGTACGTGATGAATGAATATGACAAAAATTGTGCTCTAATTATGACCATTTTTGAATATTTTTATTCTTAGTTGATGTTCATCATAAATTTAGTTCATTCTAAGGTGGCTTCAAGATTCGTACGTAGTTCAGTCTCAGTTGATGTTTATAACTTTAGTTCATTCTTGTACTTGTGTGAGTTCGAGTCTAGTTAAAAATTAGTGTGTGTTTCATAGAAAAACACACGAAATTATTACAAGTCTACTTTTGGCATACAAATATACGGGGAAGAAAGTTTTATATTGGACATATGCACAAGCATTCCATCTTAGGTCATAGAATTCTTTCATCAACAAACGAATTCAGTCAATATAATGTACGTGGTGAACATCGACCCAAATCGTACTTAAATGTAACATTTTTTGTATTTTCGTTGTTAATTCTCGTTTGTAATTAAGTTCGATCCATTATTCTTGCAGGATTTGTCGTATTCATTAATTTTTATTTTTATGTTTTATTTTACACTAAAACATAATGTCTAAATAGTACTACTTTCAATCCTTAATATAAAAGTTAGTTTCACTTTTAACTTAGTCTTAAATATAATATTTCAATTAATTTTTTTTTACATTTATTTGTTTTTTTTCAAAATAGTCCTTGTAGTAGATATATATATGTTAAAGATCCCGTCAAATAATAGTTCTAGTTAATATACATAATTAGCAAGGGTATTTTAGGAAAAACAATACCTATTTATTATAAATAACTAACTTAACAAATTTTCTTATTCTACTAAAATTAATCAATCAACTCTTATAATAAGGACTAGAAGTAGTATTTACAATAACTGTTATCCTCATTTCACTATTTTAACGTTTAAAGGAAATTTCTTTACATCCTAAGTTAGTTTTCTAACTCAGATGGAAGGAAGAACTGTGTGTGTGTGTGTGAGTTTGGGGGGGGGGGGGAGTATATCCAAATTACTATGTGAAATAAGTGGTTTCAACCTTCATATGTTTACCCGAATAAAAAAATTAATTCGATGTCTCTATTGTTTAAGAATACAGGCACAGCTAAATGTTAGTCTGCGTACATTGATATGTAAATAACCAATAAAGTTGCATTCCTTCCTTGTTTGCCCTATCCACGCGATAGAAAAATTGCGTAACAATTACAACTTTAATTTAATCAAAACAATTTTTTTTGTTCATGACAATTTTTAATTCAATTTGTTTTGTCGCAATGCATTTATTTAAATTTATTAGTAATGTGGTTATGAACATTTATATTGATGTCCATGCATGAATGGAACATGTATTCATTGACTACATTTATTATGCCTCTCAATAAAAATCGGATTGCTCCCTTTTCTGTTGTGTCTGACTTACCCCGAGGAAGGACTTCATTGAACCTAGCTCAACCACTCCAGTCAGTGGTCTTAACATATACGCTTAATTTTATCTATATGATATCGAAAGAAGAAGGAAAATTGGAAGAAGAAAGAAAAGGTATCCAGTTATAAACTTTATTGGTGAAAAAACAACCCGATTATTAACAGTACTCTACAATTTATATATATATAGAGCATTGATACTCTGATTTAGGTCATTCTCACTAATGAATACATTTTTTTCATACACATTTTATTAGGATGCCTAGATAGGTGTGTTTGAATTGAGATGGGAAGATTTATATCCAATATAGTTGGGCTTGATAAGTAATATATAATAAAGTTGAGATAGCATTAGCTTGGGCTTAAGATATGCATGGCGTGTCTTTTCACTCTTCAATGCCCATTTCTTCCCTTTTCCCAAACTTATCTATTCTCAGGGAGCTCAATGGGTTCTGCAATTAATAATCGAATGCGGTTCATAGATGTGGAATCTGGGGCTCCATGCCCATCTCCATACTGGTAGGTGCAATGGGAAATTCTGGCGAGGTCCATTGCAGTTTCGACAAAAGCTCTGGAAAATTTAGACTCCATTCCTCTTCCTTCGTTCATCTCCTTCCAAGCCTCGTCCACCAAACTACGTACATATTTGTGGCTATTCTCCTCAGTGGCCCCACTCTGGTGCATGCGACATATGATCGAGTTTGCTGCTTCACCTCTCTCTAACTCCGCCTGCAAAAACATTGAGAATGGATAAACCAAATGACAACAGAGGATTGAGATTGAGAATGGATTAACCACCTTCGATGTGGCCAAGTCGTTGCAGAGACGAAAAATAACGGAGGGACAACGCAAGAGGCGATGGTGGGGGTCCAAGGATTGAAGTGACTCCTTTGAGAAATTGTGATTGAGAAAGAAATAGGCATGGATGAGGATTACTACTCCTGAAACTGAAACCCATGCGTTTCTGACGTAGTCATCAAATAATGGTATGTGTTTGTCATGGGACCATCTGGCTTCTTGCAGGAATGCTCTTAACATGTCTGCCCACTTTAATAATTAAGAAAACAAACACTTAGTTTCACACGGAAATAGTATTTAACATCGATGTGTTTGCATAAGTTGTGAAGAGTCGTTCCAGTGGAGCACTCACTGCTCTGGTGAGGTAGGGTAGTATATTGTGTCCATGCTCTCTCAGGGCTTCATAAGTCATTTTATTGACAGTGTTGTATAAAGCTAGGAAACATACTTTCATGTACTCTGGGAGATCTTGCATCGCATTGATATCCCACCTGAAACATCAAAAAAGAATTCATCACATGATATTTGCTCGTATGTATGTTAATATGTGTATCTAGCTTTCAACGAAAATAATAATATCTATAAAATAACTTAATTCGAATATAGGAGAAAACAATGAACCTTTCAACAGCGGCTGTAAAAAGCTCGAGTTCATCCAGAGTGCCATAAACATCATAGACGTCGTCGATTGTGGTAATGAAACAGGTGACTTTGGTTAGTGCTTTTCGGAGCTCACTGTGCTGAGGTTCAGACGCCATTCCCACTGCCCAGAAGAAGCACTCCATTAGCCTGTCCCTGCTGAAGCTCAACTTTGATGCCAATCCCATCGCCTTCCACCAGCTATGATTAATTACATATATCAATATTTGAACCCAATTTTCTCTTTTTGACTTCGTACTATTGGTTGTTGCTATACATATGCGTATAGGGAAACAAATATAATAAACCGACGAACCTTGACATTTCTTGGAGATCCCTTTGAAGTGTTGACTGTACTATGTTAAAATCCAGTATAGCAGCTTCGAGAAGGACCTTGTCTGCGTTTTTCCTCTTACCATGTGCTTCTATGTACCATCTCGCCTCTAACCTTCGTGTTCTGCGATGTAATGGAAGGTCCAGGGCGTGACGGATCGCTTGTCCCCACAAATGATCATTGCTTATAATTTCCTTCATCATGTCGCTGAGGTGAGTGGTTGTGAAGACCTTGGCCTCCTCAAGAATGTGCTCTCCTCGATACCCCAGAAATGCTGCCTCGTACAGACTTAACAACCCTTTCACATCACTGCTATGGCATGCATTGAAATTACGGTTTTGGTCCTTGAAACTCTCAAATATATCTGCGTTATTTATGTTCCAATATCACACTGTTTAGTTTAGTTTATTAGCTCGTGCGAGATGTAATTATTAAAATCTCTCTAAGAGAGCCATACCCATATAGCACCCACTTACCGTAAAACAGTTCTGAAATTGAGGTTCAGTAGTCTTTAAACTTGCGGGCAATAGACTGGTTTCATTATTTTCACTAATTATCAAATTAAGTAGATGAAAACAAAAGTGTCGACATGTTCCGTAAATATCCAAAACTAAATCAAACCAAACCTTTGATTTGAACTCACCAACATCAACTACTCCAGTGTTCCAAATATCAAAGGTTAACAGTTCTAAGCATTTTAGTTGTGAGGAATGCATTGTATGTTGCCATGAAAGATCGTATGCCCTTGCTCAATGAATCAAATTCAAATATCACAATAAATGAACTGAGTAATAAAACAATAAATCTTAAAAAATTTATACTAATAAGCAGCATCCAGCATCATAGCAAAATCATATAATTAAACTACTTGACTCAATTTTTAAGATACTGTGATATCATCCCGTGATTTAACGGGACAATAAGAAGAGAAATAGAGGATCCGGATCGATTTCTATCTCTCTATATATACTGTTGTTAACAACTTTATACTAAAAAATACTACCTCAGACCATTAGTATAAGAGCTAAACGACTATCAATTTGATACTAAATATAAAACTTCAATCTATTTTGTCTTTCATATTTATCTATTTTTTCTAAAGTAGTCCTTGCATTGTAATAGTTGCACATATTAAAAGTTTTATTAAATTGTAATTTTAGCTAATACACATGATTAGCAAGAGTATTTTAGAAAAGATAACACATATTTATTACAAACAACTAACTTAACTAATTTTCTTAATCTTTTTGAATTAGTGAACTGGGTTTTATATTAAGGATCGGAGGTAACACTTTCCATATGTTAGAGATTATAAATCCCTGAGATGAATTTAAATCAACCTCCTCCGTCCCACCTACGCACTAAAGTAATTATTGGTCGAAGTATTCACGTGGTTGTACGTCTGTCTAATGAATCCTTAATGATCTATTGTTTACTGGCATGCATGTTCTCCCACCCCAAAATAAAACAAAAAATAATAATAATTTAATTAAATGTTAGGAAGAAACTATATCCAGGCTTGGACTACTCTATACATCCCCCAATCTGAAGCCTGATCCGTTTTGGCAGCTTTACTCTACCTGGGGAGACACGATAGCCATGATCTCTGAGGAGTCTGAAGCTTAAAGCAGCTTCATGTAGCCTTCTGCACTGTTTTGTTGGACAACGTTTTTGTTCCCAACTGACATAACTATGAAGAGCATCTTTAATCTCATTGTGAAAGCGGTAGCCAAGACCTAAGCGTTGGACATCGTCAATGAGCTCAAGTTTTGGCAATGGCTCAGTATTGGGATTCACGATCATCCTCCTCACATCCTCCAGCAGCATCCTTTCTCTGGCATCGTACTTCTCATCCTATAACAACAAGCTAAGTATTGTTAATTGCATGTCATATACAGTAATAGAACATGGTGAATATATAATAACGTCGTGAATTAATTGAGCAAGAAAAGAAGGGGGTGATGAATTACCGTATAACCATTGTTCAAGGACTGGAGGAAGTCATAACTCCAGGGGGTAGGCTGGTAATTGGCGGAGTTTCTTTGATGAGAGGAAGGAGGGAAATTATTAAGTTTGCCATTAATTCTGCGATATGAAAGAGTCCCTCCAGGTTTGCTGTGTTTTCTAAAATTAAGTGAGATGAAGGAGGGATTGGACAGGAAGGCACTCGCCAGGGCCATAACTGTGTGGCTTGTTTGCTTGTGAATACTAATGCTAATTAATTGCTTGCGTTTCATAACTAGGCAGGGCTTATTATATATAACACGTTTCCCAATCTCTCTCTAATACTATGTAGCATATCCAATAATACTAAATAATAGTAATTAATTAGTCAAGTTTTATATGCATGCAGCTTTTGTAATGCAGGAAACGATACTTTCTAGTAGAACCAATTTTAGTGCTCATCGTAATGATAAGCATCATGATGCTTATCAAATCTCAACTATTTAAATTTAACATGGACAGCCGTGATTTAATATTTAATATTTTGTTTTTAAAAAGGTTTTTTTAATAGGTACATAATCTAAAATAAATATAATCTCTTAACTATAAGTTTTTTAAAAGAAGAAATTTTTAACTTAAAAATTACTAGTTGAAAATTTTAAATCTAGACTATTAAAACTGATTTTGAATGGTAATCATAATATTTGTCACTGCGATGAACACTAAAACTCGTTCCGTTTCTAGTGTAACAATGTTACATTAGTATGGCTTGACACAGAACCAGTTTGGATGCTCATTTTGTACTCATCTTTAAGATGACACCCGGAGCTCATCCCATTTAAACCATCCATATGAGATCCAGATAGTTCAGATTTTTTTTTTTAAATTTTGGGTTAAGGCGCATCCAACACCTTAAAGTATTTTGTAAGATATTTAACACCCTAAAATACTTTTTAGGTGCATCCAATATTTTGAAATAATTTTTTTGCTCTGGTGCTAGATGCACAAAAAAATATCTTTGGATACTAAGCGCACCGAAATAAATACTTCGGGGTGCGAGATGCGCCTAATCATATTTTAAGGTACTGAATATATTTAAAAAATATTTAAAGATACTAGATGCACCACAAAATATTTTAAGGTACTAGATGTACCTAATAAAATATTTTAAAATGTTGGGTGCACCTTAATGTTTTATTTTTTTAATAATTATTTTTAAAAAACAATTTTTGTCATGTAAAAATAATTAATTAAAAAAATTAAATCTAGAATAGAATATTTATATCACATATGAATCATCCAAAAAGAGATGAGCTCTCTTTAACAAATGCGTTTCGAGGACATGGTTGTAAATGTGACGTCATACGGAGTGTCGTCATAAGTGGATGGCATCAAACCTGAACGGTAGATAAGGAACTTCCACGTATACCCGTTGTACTATAAAATATCATGGCACAACCCCCCAAGCCAAGTTTCACGCGTTACACTGAAAAACTAGTCTTTTCAACGGAGGACCACAATAATGGGAGTAGGCGCCTACTTATCTCAAATTTTTTAATACATTGAGTTGTTAATATAAAATTTAATTAATTAATTAATTTGAAAAAAAGAAACTTATAAATTACTCAATAATAACACATATTACATGATCTCTTTAAAATATTTATATATTATTAATATTATATATTAATTTATAAGTGAATCAAATTAATTTGAAAAAACAAAAAATATAAATATTTTAATACAATTTAGTAATTTTTTAAAATCTCTTTAAATTAGTCAATTTGATTTTATATTAAGAACTGGAGTTAATATATTAATTATGTTAAGTTTTTTTATTTTATTTTTAAAGTATTATTATTTAATTATAAACTCACATGAAAAAAGGGCACATCATCATGTATAGTTAGAAAACTTAACATAATAAATATAAACAAAACTTAATTTGAGTATTTTCTTCTCATTTATTATAAAAATATAATTCATATGAATATATATCTTGATCGGTTATAAAGCTAATTAATTAGAAATAATTGAACAGCTAGAAACAGTTAAACCACATATGGAGGTCAACCTTGCGAGCTAGCTAATAACTTAATTAGCCTGGAGGGATATAATAGCCACCTAATTCTTAATCTGATATGATGCAAGCTCGAGGAAAATAAGAATTCAATTTTGAAAATAGAGCATTACCACGTGAAATATGCGTCCCTTCCCTTTAATTTAAGCAGGATAGTGATTTTTTTAACCAAAAAATAGTATTTTATTTTGACCTAGGCATTTCAATTTTGTGGCCTGAAGATAGGTCAATTTAATCATGGCAATCATTCATGTTATCTCTAGACTAGCTAAAAATTGAATGAATTATGGCTGAAGTTTATAACTAATGCCCCAAAATTGCAAAGTCGATTTTAACATAACTAATAACCCTCCTTTTTTGTTCTTTTTTAGTATTGGCTAGCACAAAGTATGAGATACTACCTCCGATCCTTAATATAAGAGCTAGTTAGTTAATTTAAATAGATTAAAAAAATTAGTTAAGTTAGTTATTCGTGATAAATAGGTGTTATTTTTTTTAAAATATCCTCGCTAATCAAGTGTAACTAGAACTAACATTACTACAAAGACTATCTTAAAAATATATATAAATATGAGAAACAAAATTGATTGGGGTCTTATATTTAAAATAAAAATAAAAGTTAAACTAGTTTTTATATTAAATGCCCCGGGAGGGGGTTGCTAACCAATTGATTCTTTTTTCTTTCTTTTTTTTTAAACAAGACTAACTGATTCGTTTCATATTATCCTCGTGCGAGAAAAATAATTATCAGGGCAAGCAGCATTATCAAGTGGTTATTTTCGTCATTTGCTCAGTAGTCCTTTATAATATCCAACAAATGTATGTTATGAGATGTATCCTAGGCAGAGGAGATTCAATAAATTGACTTTAGTGAATTTTATTACAAATATATTTTACTAAAAACTGGATATAGGCTGTATGTGGTTCTGAACATTTGTGGTGATTTATATTTAGGCAGATAGGCCGTATATGGTTCTGAATATTTATGGTGATTTAAGACTGTAACTGCATGGTCTAACTAGTTGCTTAGGTACTATGAGAATGGATTTACCACTGATTAGAAAATCACTACTAATTCATGAGAATATTATTAGAACTTTTTAGAAATAATTGTCATTATAGTTGATTAAATGGATTTCTCAGAAAGGTACATACTAGTAACTGGAGCGTGAATTCTGAACCCCAACAAATTAACACACACACTCTTATTTTATCTTGATATCTTCTATTTATTCTCTTCAAACAATTTTGGTATCTCTATAGTTTAAGATAGGGGTGGAAACAGGCCAGGCAGCCTGTCAGGGGCCTATGGCCTGGCCTGTTTCCCAAAAATGACAGGCTCAGGCCTGTTTGAAGGCCTGTTTAGTTAAACAGGCCAGGCTTAGGCTTTCTAAAAAGCCTGTTAAGCCTGTTAGGCCGGCCTGGGCCTGTTAAGAATTTATAATTATAATATATAAAAAATTAATTAATGCTATTATTGTTAATGTGTTTTTTTAATTTATTTTTTAATTTTAATATATAGTTCATAGCTTAATCTTTTCTTAGATTTCGAAGTTTAGATGACAAGTGAAGATAAAAATATAATTTAAAATAATAATATTAATAAATAATGTGATTTTTAAATCTTAAAAATATAAAAAAAATAGGAAAGAAAAATTTTGTTTCAAGAATGATAAATTAACTAACTTACGTATTATGTTAATTTAAGTATGATATCCTCTTTATTCATTATAAAATTATTATTTTTTTCTCTTTATTTATTTGTCTTAATTTTAATTTTTTGTGTGTACTTAAACGTAGTCTTATTCCAAATTTTAACATATAATTACAATTAGTTTTCAATAACATTCTTATAAATTATAATTAAGATTTAAAATAGTAGTTATGATACTAAAATTTAAATAAAAGACAAGACTAAAAATTTAATTATTATGTACGTTTTTTTAATCTTAGCTTTTTTTAAAAATAATTATTATAATTTGAATTTTTTAAAAATACAGGCCTTTTAACAGGCTTCAGGCCAGGCCAGGCCTTTACACAGACCAGGCTCAGGCTAAAAAATAAGCCTGTAACAGGCCACAGGCCAGGCTCAGGCCAATAGGCTCCAAAACAGGCCTGGCCTGTTAAGAGCAAAGCCTGGCCTGACCTGACCTGTTTCCACCCTTAGTTTAAGAGTACATATATATATATATATATATATATATAATATGGCACATCTGTTAAAAAAAGTCCATGTAAATTGATATGTAAATAATTAAATTTGCATTATTCGCTCATCGTTTATCCGATTCCGATCCGTGCGATTACAAAAAAAGGCGCGCATCGATCACAATTTTTAGTTAAAATAATTTTTTTAGTCATGAAAATTTTTAATTCATTTTTTGTCGCAAATGCATTTATTTGAATTTATTAGTAATGTGGTCATGAACACATGTTAATGTCCTTAGACGAATGGAACATGTACGCATTGATTTCATTAATCATACCTCTTAATAAAAATCGGATTGATATCTTTAATTTGTCGTTGAATTATTTTTTGATAGACGGGAGTGAAAGTTATATATTAATTGAATATAGTTTTTAATACAAGTTACAAGCTATCAATTCGATATTTTAAAATTTTTTCATCCAGAAATTAAAATGACTTGAAAATCTGGGTTAAACCATAATTTCAAATTTATTTATTCTTTTTTTTTTGGGTTAAAGCACGTGTAATAGGAGGCAATAACTAAATTTATTTATTTTTATATATGTGTGTATGGTTTCAAAATATAATCACAAAGGCCCAACAAAAAACAGACGTCTGCTTGGGCTAAATATTCAATATTTACTGTTGAAGTCCCTTGTATGGCCCCAACTAAAAGTTCACCTTTTGGGCCGAAATAGAAAACTGCAAAATTTCATCTATAATTAATATTTAAGATGACGTGCCAGAGTTTCTTTCCCAATAATCTTCAGGCAAAAATAACTGATTAATATTTAAGAATTCACATAATTGAAAAATTTCACACAAAACAACTTCATATTTAAGTAACTATTTGGATTAGTTTAAAGTAATATGTTTTCGCTCTCTTCATGCATATTTATTTTTGAACAGCACAAAATTATTTCGCCCCAGCAAATATAAACAAGAAATAAGTTAGCATCACCAATCAA